CTATAAAAGCCGAAGTACATGGAATTTTTAGCCTAATGATAATTGAAACATGTGTCCTTGGGTTTTTTTCCCTTTGTCAAGTATACTTACACCAAAAAATATATGATTTTTTCACTTGTTCAACAGTCCCACAAATAAACACTTCTTAATGAATTAGTTTTCAGAAACAATCATTTTCAATTCCCCGATAGCTTACATATATAAAGCCAATGACCAAGCTTATGTTTACATTCACTGTGTACAAATGCAGCTAATACTGATTAAATATGTGTTCCTTGTATTAATACTTGATCCTATTTGGTGACATGCAGTAATGACAACATTGCTGAGCTTCAGAGCTGGTTCAAGCCCCAGAAATGTTTCCAGGTAAGACCTTAGGCTTATCCCATTCCCCCTTGAACCTCAGTTTCATCATCAGTAAAGTGGAGATACTATCACACCTGTGTCACACAATTCTTGGGAGAAATAAAAGAAATACTTTCTATGGAACAATTTTATGAAATTCAAAGTCTTAAAGAAAATTTATTTTTTCAGTATAATTCTGTCAAGTTATAGCTATATGAGGCAAGAATATTCAATCTGTGCTGTACTGTTCCCCAAAAGTCATGTTTCCATTGTGTTGATCACTCATAAAGAAGGATAAAAGCCTATGACATTAAAGAGGATGGGAACCTGGAAGGATGGAACAATCATCCTAAGAAATACAGCCTAGAATTCTTGGAATTAAAGGATCTTAGAGATGTTCTAGTCTAACTCCTAACTTCTCAGTTAAGAAAACAGGACAGGTGGTATGGAAAAGATGGACCTTATTTTCAGGAGTGCAAGAATAAAGGCCAAACCAGCTGGGCATGTGGCTCACCCCTGTAATCCCAGCACATTGGGAGGCCAAGGTGGGCAGATCACGAGGTCAGGATATCGAGACCATCCTGACCATGGCGAAACCCCGTGTCTACTAAAATATGAAAAATTAGCTGGGTGTGGTGGTGCGTGCCTGTAGTCCAAGCTACTCAGGAGGCTGAGGCAAGGGAGTTGTTTAAATCCAGGAGACAGAGGTTGCAGTGAGCTGTGATCATGCCACTGCACTCCAGCCTGGCAAAACAGCAAGACTCCATCTAAAAAAAAAAAAAAAAAGAATAGACACAAACCAAAACCATAGAAAATGTTTGATTTTCTGCTGCTAGCTGTTTCCCTACATTGTGCTGTCTCATTTATAAGGACCAAATATTACATTCTCTGCATGATGGCAGGATAGCTGTGGATGATGCAGCCTTGGAGAAGTCACTCAGGGACTCTCAGAGATAGAAAGCTAATGTAGTTTGGATATGTGTCTTCTCTAAATCTCATGTCAAATTGTAATCTGCTGTGTTGGAGGTGGCACATGAATGGCTCATGGGGATGGATTTCTCATGAATGATTTAGCATCACCCTCTTGGTGCTGTTCTCGCAGTAATGAGTTCTCTCAAGATCTGGTTGTTTTAAAAGTGTGTGGCATCTCCCGATCTCTCTCTTCCTCCTGTTTTCACCATGTGACATGCCTGCTCCCATATTATACTTCCTAACATGAATAAAAGGTCCTCGAGGCTTGAGGCCTTCCCAGAAGCTAAGCAGATGCCGGCACCATGTTTCCTGTACAGCCTGGAGAACTGTGAGCCAATCAAACCTCTTTTCTTGATAAACACTATGCTCTGTATACTTCTGGCAATGGTGCACTCAGTGTTCATCAAGACCATCCTGACCTCAGTTTTAAACACATTTTTTTTGAGATGGAGTCTCTCTCTCTGTAGCCCAGGCTGGAGTGCAGTGGTACAGTCTTGGCTCACTGTAACCTTCGCCTCCTGAGTCCCAGTTCAAGCAATTCTCCTACCTCAGCCTCCCAAGTAGCTGGGATTACAGGCATGAGCCACCATGCCCAGGTAATTTTTGTATTTTTTAGTAGAGACAGAGTTTCACCATGTTGGCCAGTCTGGTCTTAAACTCCTGACCTTGTGATCCACCCGCCTCAGCCTTCCAAAGTGCTGGGATTATAGGCATGAGCCACCACGCCAGCCTCAAACACATTTTTTTAATGAGAATGGATGCATGGTTGCTGTTGGCCTCTGTCTACCCTGTCTCCTATGGGGCTGAGACCCAGGTTGCTAGGATAGACTCATCCAGCTAATATAGTCACACCAGCCTGGAGCTGGACTTGGAGATACCCTGGATAGCAAAACAAATGGAAAGTCAGTGAAAAGGAACAAACATTAAAGAAGTCATTGCAGAATTCCTTACTTCATTGAAGTTGTAACTAGAGTTCTGAAAGAAAAGTACCAGATGCCATACATGAAATAACAAGGGGATCAAACATAGGCTTGGGGACAGGACAGAGTTCCCCAAGGATGTGGTAACCGAGCAGACCTTGGTCCAATGATGTTAGATGAGTGTGAAAAGGAGAGTTACAAGCTAGTAAAATAACTGCTGTGAAGGCCTTGATGGGAAAGAACCCAGAGAGTCCTGGGCAAGGAAGGCAGGCCAGTATGGAGAGAGCAGAGTGCAGAAGACGGGGTGGGGAGACAGGTCAGGAAAGCTACCCCACACATAATGCAAACACTGTCCAAGGACTTTCTCCTTTGTTTTTCAAGTTTGTCTATAATCCCCTTGAAACAGGTTGCCTGAAAAGAGCATAAAGGTTATGAACATCAACTCTATTCCAGACTGCATAGGTCCAAATTCTGGCTCTATGAATTACTAGCTATGAGACTTTAAAGTGATTCTGTATTTTTCTCTGGATCTTCACCTGTAACTGGTCCTAATAGTAGTACTCTCTCCTAGTGTCTTGAGAATTAAATGAGCTCATATATGCAAAGTGTCTAGAACAGTGTCTGGCAAATAAGAAGTGTTACCTAAGACCTACTTACTACTAAAATGGGTCAACGGCCTGACTCCAAGTTTTTCTCTAGCTTTTTAGTCTGTGTCAACTCAGGTTCTCTGGGAAGCAGACAGACTGGGCGGGGAGAACTTCTGGTAGAATGTCCATCTGAGAAAGTCTTAGAGAACCCACTGGGAAGCTCTAGAACAGAGTCCCTGAGCAGAAATGGTCAGGTTCTAGTAATGCTTCCATGTTTAGTTGCTGAACATAAAATTTAAAAGTTGGGGGCTGGATGCGGTGGCTCAAGCCTGTAATCCCAGCACTTTGGGAGGCCGAGGTGGGTGGATCGCGAGGTCAAGAGATCAAGACCATCCTGGTCAACATGGTGAAACCCCGTCTCTACTAAAAATACAAAAAATTAGCTGGGCACGGTGGCGCGTGCCTGTAATCCCAGCTATTCAGGAGGCTGAGGCAGGAGAATTGCCTGAACCCAGGAGGCGGAGATTGCGGTGAGCCGAGATCACGCCATTGCACTCCAGCTTGGGTAACAAGAGCGAAACTCCATCTAAAAATAAATAAATAAATAAAAATAAAAAATTTAAAAGTTGAAGTTTGAAAGCTGGTTCTACCAGAGGTTATGATTTGACTGTTTGTGTACCCCCAAATTCACATTTTGAAATCCTATCCTCCACGGTGATAGTATTAGAAGGTGAAGCTTTGTGGAAAGTGACTAGGAATGGGACTAGGGCTCTTGGGCGTTGGGCCTGAGAGCTTGTTTCTCCTTTTCATTATGTGAGGACACAGCAAAAAGGTGCCATCTATGAGCCAGAAAGTGAATCTTTGCCAGACCACAATTCTGCCTATGTCTTCGTTGTAAAATTCCTAGCCCCTAGAACTATGAGAAATAAATTTATGTTGTTTATAAGGTACCCAGTCTATAGCATTTTATTATAACAGCCCAAAGGGACTAAGACAGAGTCCAAGGAGTGCACATATTGCTGTTACAGCTTCTCACTCATTGAGTATCTCCCCCCAGCTCCCTTACCCTCCTTTGAATCTCCCAGACTCTCAGCTGAATTACTGTCTACTGTCCCCTGACCCTCCCGGACTATTTATCGGATATGACCTCCCTCATGGTGGTCCCTGTCTCCATAAACAATGCTTCAAAATAAACCTTTCCATTCCCAGGTGCACTTTCTGCCTTTAGTCCTCTTTCTATGGGCACCTGGGGCTTTGTATTTCCAAAACTTAGCAGACTATTTGAGATCTGCAAACAGTGATCTTGTGACAATGAGGCAGTAGAAGAGTACCAGCATCAGGTAGACAGAAGTTTGAAGGCTGGCCCTATCATTTACTCATTGTGTAAGTCACTAGACCTCACTCACTCTTAATATCTCCACCTGTAGAATGGAACTAATCCTACCTTTCATGATTGCAATACGGATTGAATGAGATAATGTACGCGATGCTTCCCAGCACAGTGACTAGCGTGTAGCAAGTGCGCAATCAGTATTGTTTTTCTTTCCTTTCTTCTTTCTGGTATTCTTTCTTCTCCAAGTTAATCATCTTTATTTTTTTCTTGGTTTTCAGCTGCTCTCTTCATTTCACACTCCTCTAAGTTTCAATTCATAATAACCTTAAAGAGGTTATTTGGAAAGTAGAGTGCAATGCCTACTCTGCACTGGTGTGGCATGACCACCATGAAATAGCTGATGATTATCCACCAAAATCCATCTTCAATGGTGCCCATTAAATCCAAGATAATATTCTAACTCCTTAACATGGACTTTGTCAGACATTTCCTTCTGCCTGGATTTCTTTTCCTCTCATACATGTCCTGGCTCTACCCTTCAGTTCTCAGTCGCTTTTACCAGAGAGGTCTGCTCTCACATCCAAATCTAAGTCTCATTATACCCTTTCCCTGAACTCTGTTTTCTTCCTTACAGAACTAATCATGCTTTACAATTCTATACTATCTCTATGGCTACAATTGTTTAATGTATATTTTTCCAAAAGGCATTAAACTTCAAAAAGCCATGTGCTAGATCATATCTGGAGTATTCTGCATAGATTAGACAAATGGATAACACTATTGAATGGATGCTTGATTTATTTCTCTCCATTCAAACCAAGATTATGTTCTCTTTTTTGGCAGATTCATCTCACTGCTAATTCATATTCAGCTTCTTCCCCAACATAATTTCTAAGGCAGAAGTTTGAAAGCTGGTACCAATCCATGGCCTGTTGAGAACTAGGCCTCACAACAGGAGGTAAGCAGTGGGCAAGCAAGAAAACCTTCCTCTGTATTTACAGCCACTTTTTATGGCTCGCATTGCCACCTGAGCTCTGCCTCCTGTCAGATCAGTGGTGGCATTAGATCTTTATAGGAACATAAACCCTATTGCAAACTACGCATGCAAGCGATCAAGATTGCATGCTCCTTATGAGAATCTAATGCATGATGATCTGTCACTGTCTCCCGTCACCTCCAGATGAGATCACTGGTTGCAAAAAAACAAGTTCAGGACTCCCAGTGATTCTACATTATAGTGAATTATGTAATTATTTTAATATATATTACAATGTAATAATAATAGAGATAAAGTGCACAATAAATATAATGCACTTCAATAATCCCAAAACTACCACACCATACTGATCCATGGAAAAATTCTCTCTCACAAAACTGGTCCCTGGTACCAAAAAGGTTAGGGACCACCATTGTAAGCCTTTTTCACACCTAGCAAAGCTATGTTATCATGATTTATATAGCTATATAAATCACTATGTGAGTGTTTACATGTGCACATGTATGCATGTTTAATACAAACAAAGGTGTGTATTTGGGTAAATAATGGTTTTCACATCAACTGAAAGGGATATTGTGCATTTGCATGACGTGTGTGTGTGAGGGAATAAATAGCAGATTGACAAAGTCACCTGGGTCAAATCATGGAATGCCTGATAAGCAGTGTGAGCCATTGGATAATATTTCATATGCAATGATGGAGTGAAATGCCAATGGCTTTATTCATGGTCCAAGAAGTCAGGTCATGAGAAGGAAACCAGGACCAGAGTAGAAAGATAATGAGAAAATCCCAAAACCACAGTCCACAGTGGGGCTCAGACCTTAAGAACCAAAAAACTTGTCCCAAAGACACAGAAACAGAAATGGAACCTTGTGTTAGGCTTGATCCCGTCCACAATGGGAAATCAGTGAAGGCACTAGAGCGAGATGGTCACATGTATGATAGAGAAAGATCCCAGTGAGAATGAGCCTGGAGAGAATGGCAAAGGGAGAAGCTGAATCTGGGAGACTTGGCATTTATAGTAACAATCTATGCTGGAGGAAGATGACAATTTTTGAGAAAACATAACGAGTTCATTATAGGATAAACCATTCAAAACTCATCAGAGTACAAGTGAATTGCAGGACATGCTAAAATGCTGACTTCAAAGAACTCAGAGATGGAAAAATAGAAGATACAATCAGGGAGGAAGGAGGAACTAAATGACCAAGAGAGGAGAGTATCAAAATGAAGAAATGTTTGATCTCTTCAACATTATGGAGAAGATGAACACAGTTTGCACTAAAAAAGGCATGCAAGATTGGGAATTGTGTTGGTCCCTGGTGATCATGGATAGAGCAATTTTATAGAAGGTGATGGGGCCAGACCATATTGTGGGTAGACGATGCATTAGTGGGAGGCAAGAATGTGAAAGCAGATACATGATGTGGAGCACAGTGGAAACTATGGCTGGGCTTTGATTTCCTCCAGCTATGTTTGCTTAACCTTTTCTAGTCTTCCTCATATTTTCTAACAGTTTCAGTACTTCCTGAATTTTCTCTACAGTCCTTCTTTCATGTTGTCCTTTGATATATAGTCTTTATCTTTGCTACAGCCCTTTTTACTCCTGGACCACTACCCCCTAGGGATCTTCTATAGGTTTACAGTCAGAGCTGCCTATTTGATTGTTGCTTCACCTTCTCTTGCCACTTTCCCTGCTCCAAGTGGGATGTTGTAGAAACACGGCTCATCATTCTCTGAAATTCTTGAACCAACTTTTCCAAAGTCCAGGGACATACCTTGAGTTTCATCAACCACACACATAGCCTCACTTCCAAAAGTCTTCCTGCTAGCATTCCTGAGGATATCTGTCATGTAAAACAAGTGGGGTCTTGCCTATGCCCCTTTGCTAGTTAATCTTTATACAAGAGTATAAAGATAGGAAATAATTAACAAAAGATACATTTGTGGAAATCATCATGTTAAAATCAGCATGTAAAATAACATTAAATCTGTAGACCACATAGGGATCATAGGTCATTTCAGTCTGTGAATGCCTATCTTGTTCAACCATGGATGCTAAGAAAGAGAGAAGTGTCCTCCCTTGCTTTCTCCACTTGCAGTGTCTCTGAAATTAGTACTGCTCACACAATCCCCAAAAAGTCCTAGAACTCTTTCTTGCCATGAACATAAGCTCTGCAAAAATCAGGTCTCACTAAGATTTTTGCTACATGCCAAACTCTAGTCTTTAGCATACTCTTAGTATTAAATGGATAATAAAACAAAAACTTGGACCTACTCACAGAGAACTGACATACTTTTTTTTAACTTATTACTTATTGTTTAGTTGTTATTTCTCCCGTCTTAAATATGTTAGGTTGGTGCGAAGGTAATTGTGGTTTTTGCCGTTGAACTTTATGGCAAAACCCAGAATTACTTTTTTCACCAACGTAATACAATTACCAGGATTATCTGGATGCCCAGATTCCTCATCTAGAGTGGCATGGTAGCTTTCTCCCAAATCTCTGTGTGAGTATATCCTGTGTTGATCAAGATATAAAATGAAGTTTGATAAGGATGCCAAGAAGAAAAAGCAAAAGAATGGTCTCTTAAACAAATACGCCTAGATAAACTGGATATCTGCATGCAGAAGAATGAAGTTTGACTCCTCTATCACACCGTATACAGTGCAAAAATTAACTCCAAATGGGCAAAACACCTAAATATAAAGGCCAAAGCTATAAAACTCTTAGAAGAAAATATGAGAGTTAATCTTCACGACCTCGAATTAAGCAAACCTTATTAGGTATGATACCAAAAGCACAAACAACTAAAGAAAAAAATAGATAAAGTGGACTTTATCAGCATAGAAAATATTTGTGCTTTAAAGAGCATCAGGTATGTGAAAAGACAATTCACAGATTAGAAGATATTTGCAAATCATATATCTGATGAGACTTGTATCTACAGTACAGAAAGAAGTCTTAGAACTTAATCATAAAAAAGAAAAACCCCATTAAAAATTGACAAAGTGTTCCAATAGGCATTTCTCCAATGAAGATATACAAATAGATAATAAGCACACGTAAAAATGTTCATCATTAGCCATCAAGGAAATGTACTCAAAGCTGCAGATAAATACAACTTCATCCCCATTAGGATGGCTTTAATTTAAATGACAGACAGGAAGAAGTGTTGGTGAAGATGAATAGAAACTGGAATCCTCTTACACCACTGATGGGAATGCAAAAGATGTGGCTGCTTTGAAAAACCATCTGGTAGCTTCTCAAAAGGTTAAACATAGAGTCGCCATACAACTCAGCAATTCAGCTCATAGATATATATCCAAGAGAAATAAAAACATATGTTTACACAAGAAGTTGTACACAAATGTTTATAAAAGCATTATTCACAATAGCCAAAAAGTGGAAATAATCCAAATGTCCTTCAACTGATAAATGGAAAATCAAATTGTGATATATTTTATTCAGCCATACAAAGGAATGAAGTACTGATACATGCCACAATATGGATGAGCTCTGAAAATACTATGTTAAGTGAAAGAATCAGATTTAAAAAACATGCAATGTGTGATTCTGCTGATACAAATATCCAGAATAGGCAAATCCATAGAGACAAATCAGTTTTTGTCTAGGGCAAGGATGAGGAACTTAGAGAGTAATAGCTTAAAGCTATGGGCTTTTTTTTTTTTTTTTTTTAATGCAGTCGGGTATGGTGAGAAAAAAATGTTGTGGAACTAGATAGAGCTGATAGTTGCACAACTTTATAAGTATACTAAAAACACTGAATTGTAAAATTTAAAATGTTGAGTTTCACATATCATTCATCTGTTACATGAATTACACCTCAATTTTAAAATGTTAAGATGGAGGAGATGAAAGGGGAGGAGAAGGACGGAAGAGGAAGGGGAATGATAGGAAGAAAAGGAGAAGAAGAGGGAGGAATTGGAGGAAGAAAAAGAAGGAGGAAGAGAAGATGGAGGAGGAGGAAAAGAAGAAGCAATAAAGTGAGTGAGATAATAACTTCCAAAGGTATTTTGCAGAAAAGTTCCAGGAGGTGAGTTAGCTACTTTGCCAATAAAGATTACTTTCATTAACACTCCAAAACTGACAGATCCTTTCAACCCACCAACAGGTGGCAGGGGCTATTTTATGCCATCCCCATCAGTTGTAACGTCATCACTAACATACGTAATGTTGAGCTTATGAACCATAGATGCTGTACATTACACTTGAACAAACACTTCATGTGCCTAAGACCAGGTGATGTGTGCTGGACAGACTTTTTAAAATTATGATTCAAATGTGGAAAGAATTTTAAAGACTGTAATCATCATGCTCAATTAGCAATAACTAGATTTGATATAGTATAAAATAAATATTTATTTGACAGGGATGACCTCTCTCTCTCTCTCTCTCTCACTCTCTCTCTCTCTCTCTCTCTCTCTCTCTGAATTTCTCTAACCTTGAATTTCATCTCTCTTTGTGGCCTTTATTCCACCTTATCTTGTTGTATGCTGTTTTCATGTCTGGATTATCTCACTGAGAGATTATGAATTCTTTAGTGCAGAATCATCTCTGTGTCCCCAGTGCCCAGCACAGGGCTCCCAACAGTATCCTGGACTTAGTTGATGTTTGTTGGTAAATGAATCAATGAACCTCCAATTCCATTTGGAACTGGACAGTGTAGACATATAAGGGATTTTTCTCAAAATAATTTCAACTTTCATTTTAGATTCAGGGAGTACATGTGTAGGTTTTTTTTACATGGGTATATTACATGCTGCTGAGGTTTGGGAGATGAATGATCTTGTCACCTAGATAGTGAGCATAGTATTCAGTTAGTTTTTAAAACCTTGCGCCACTCCCTCTTCCCTCTATTTGTTCTAACAGTGTCTATTGTTGCCATCTTTATATCTTTGAGGACCCAATATTCAGTTCCCACTTAAAAATGAGAACATG